TATTTTATCATTAGTGAATTAATCAGAAGGTTTATCTGATGATGAAGAAATAGCAGGAACTCCGATGTGGGTGGGTTTCTGATCGCCGGCCATGATTACGATGATCCTCGGCGACATATCCTCAATTGTAATATTCACCGGACGAGGTGCAGATTTCTCTTCGTCGGACACGGCGGAGGAAAGGCGGCGTTTATGGAAGGAACAAGCGAGGAGGACAAGTGCCACCACAATGAGTGCCAACGTTAATGCTAAACCACCGAAAAGGTAAGGCAATGGAGATTTCCATTGCCAGAATGAAGTAGTTGAGTTTGTCTTCATGTCTCTCATACTGTAGTAACACTTTCGCTCTCTACTTATCTAATCTTGATTTTGTGGTACAGTAATGAAACTGCGTAAGAAGGGACGAGAAATGACTCAGATAGCAATTCTAGCTGATCTTATAGAGGTGAACAACTTGCGCACCAAGCACTACACACTATGATTTTGCTAATATGCCACTAATAGTAGGCTCAAATTAAGTTTCTCTTTATGCTACTTACAATGAATATATTTTGTATTTCTTTTAGAAAGTTAATTACTACGAAGTTTCTTGGAAATTTATAACGTTTTTGTTGCATGCTTTTCCTTTTCGGAGGATTACAACTTTTTGTCACTTTGTACTTGCCTTTATAAAGGCCCATCGACGTTTGTAATTACACTCATCTATTAATCTTGGTTATAAATTACAGAATTTAAGCATAGGTAAATTTGGATTAATGTTGGAGTTGCATGGTTGAAATTTTATATATGCTGTTTTAAATTAATATTTTATATTTTTTTTGGAGATGTTTGGAAGCTAGAGGTGTTCCTGTCGCATACATTCATACATTAGAGTGATTAAGGACATGTATGATGGAGCTAAGGCTCGGATGAGGACAGTGGGAGGTGACTCGGAATACTTTCCGGTTGGGATGGGGAAACCAAGGATCTGCACTCAGCCCGTTCTTATTTGCTTTGGCGATGGATGCACTAACGAGTCATATTCAAGGGGAGGTGCCATGGTGTATGTTATTCGCTGACAATATGGTATTGATTGATGAGATGCAAGGTAGTGTCAACGAGAAGTTGGAGGTTTAGAGATAGACCTTGGAGTCAAAAGGATTTAAGTTGAGCAGGACTAAGACGGAGTACCTAGAGTGTAAGTTCATCGACGAGATGAGGGGAGCGGATATAGTCGTGAGGCTTGATTCGCAAGTCATCCCTAAGAGAGGAAGTTTCAAGTATCTTGGGTCAGATATCCAAGTGAGCAGAAAGATTGACGAGAATGTCACACACCGTACATGAGCGGGGTGAATGAAATAGAGGTTAGCGTATGGCGTCCTGAATGATAAGAATGTGCCACCAAAACTTAAAGGTCAGTTCTACAAGGCGGTGGTTAGACGGACAATGTTGTATGGGGCTGAATACTGCCCAATCAAGAACTCCCATAACGAGAAGATGAACGTAGCAGAAATGAGGATATTCGATGGATGTGCGTGTACACTAGGTTTGATAAGATTAGGAGTGAGGATATTTGGGAGAAACTGGGTGTGGCCCCCATAGAGGATAAAATGCGCGAAGTAAAGCTAAGATGGTTCGGGCAATTGAAACGGAGAAGCCTAGATGCCCTAGTGAGGAGGTGTAAATGGTTGGTGCTGATAGGTAGGAGAAGAGGTAGAGGGCAACCGAAGAAGTATTGGGGAGATGTGATCAGGCAGGACATGGTGCGACTTCAGCTTACTGATGGTAGGCTAGAAACCCGTATTTTAGCCGTAGTATTGCACTCTAATTACTGTATTTTACGTGTGTTTGAGCTTAAATGATAGTGAATTACACTTATTACGTGTTTTATGCCTTGCAGGAAATAATTCCGAACTATTAAGGTAATTTGGAGCTAAATCGAACAAGTTGGAGCTTTGAAGTCTGAGTAGAAGCCCAAGCAATTAAGCCAAGATCACGTTCGGGGGTCAAGGACCAAGTCCGGATGTTAAAGAATGAACAAACGCATTTACTATGAGAAAAAGGCACAGCCGCGCCGCATGGGGGGCCGCGAGGAGCGGTGCGGCAGTGCAAAAGTTGATCCGATATGATTTTGCGAAGCTCTATGGATTTCCCCACAAGCGCGCCACATGGGGCAGCGCGGGGCACGATGCGGCAGTATGAAAATGTCAGAGTAATTTCCTAGTTCGGCTAGGAAATGATAGTTTCGTCCGAGTTTGTTTTGAGACGACTTAAATACATCAAAAATACGATTTTGAGGGGACTTTTGACCTAGAGAAGGTTGGAGAACCAACCAAAGCAAGAAGACTCAAGAATTCATCAAGATTTTAACCTGCAATTGGTACAATACGAGAGTTAGTATCAAATCATTAGAATTGATATTTTTTTTATTCTTAAATTTATTTGAGATATCTTACTCCATTGCTATGGAGTAATTTTCATTAGGGTGTTGACAGATATGGTGTTTCAATAGCTTAATTAGGTATTCGATTCTTGATAATTGTTAGAATTAATTGATAGAGCTTCAATATGTATTGTGGAGTTATTTAGTATTTTGCTTAATCGAAAGAGGAGTTTGATAATAAATTTCATCACATCTTATTCTCTAGTTTAAATTCGTGATTCAAATAGGTAATCGAAATAGCCTCTTGAATTGTTAATCGAACTAGAAAATAGGAAATATTCGTGGGAAGTTACCCTTTAGATCATAAATATCATTTTATTGTTGTAATTTTTTACCGTGCTTCAATTGGATTAATTACTAAAATTAATATTTAATCGAAAGAGGAATATTAACTTTAAGTGTAATCTGATTATCAGTTGAATTTGTGAGAATCAACCGTATTGTAGAGTGAATTAACTCAAGAATTGGATCCCAAGTCAGTTATCTTGCACCCGCCTAGTCAATTACCCTTATTTTCCTCATTGATATTTCTTCGTGCTCATCTGTTGTCTTTTGTGATCAATTGTTATTTGCTTAAATTTAAGTAGTTATTCGTAGTAATAGTCATCAAATCAAGTGTTAATTTTCTTGGATAGTAATCAACTGGAGATTATTCGAACAATGTTTAAATCCAATCCCTGTGGAGACGATAAATAATCTATACTATTTTTGGCTAGCGAGCATTAATTTTGTGTTGTATTTTACACTTGTCAAATTTTGGCGCCGTTGCCGGGGATTGACAATCAATATTATTTAAAATAGTTTTTAGTACTAATTCAGGAACCAATTTTTACTTTAGTGTATTCACTTTTTCTCACTTGTGTGCAGGATACAAGTGATTTCTCCGGTGTATGACTCGATCGTCTTCAAAGGAAGTGATACCCTACGAACCAGAGTTGGAGAAACACATGCGACAACTTAGAAAAGAAAGAGAATTAACAGAAATTTTCTTGGGTCAAACTTTGACTCAAGATAGCATGGCAAACAAAGAGAATGGAGGAGTAGACTTAGCTGCTAGAGAGGCAGCACAACACGAAGCTGCACGGAGAATTGCTGATGAGACTGTCGAACATAATAAAGGTCAAAGATTCAATCTAAACTGACCTTTGTTTGAAAACCAGTTTGAGAATGCTACACCCAGGCCTGGAAGATTATTGTGTGATTATGCTAGGCCAGTCTACAATCAAGGACTGTCAATTGTCAGACCTACACCCATAGCAGCAAACAACTTCGAATTGAAGCAAGGCTTGGTTCAAACTATCCAAAACAACTGCATTTTCAGAGGGAAGGTGAAAGAAGATCCTAATACTCACCTGATGGACTTTGAAGAAATCATGAACACCTTTCAATACAATAGAGTATTAAAGGATGCAATTTACTTAAGGGCATTCCCCTTTTCATTGACAAATGATGCGAAGCACTGGCTTCGTAGCTTACCCACAGGTTCGATCAGGACATGGGAAGATATGACCATAAAGTTTCTTGACAAGTACTTCTCAGCTGCAAAAACAGGGAAGTTCAAAAGGGAAATCCATAATTTCTGTCAGAAGGAGACAGAAAATGGTCTTTGAAGCTTGGGAAAGATTCAAGGAGATAGTCAGAAAGTGTCAGCACAATAGAATTGATTTGTGGATGCAACTCCAGGATTTTTGGGATAGACTGACACCTTCCTCGCGATGAACTCTGAATACTACATGTGGAGGTCTAATAATGAAGAAAACTCCGGAGGAGGTTGTCTTAATCCTTGATGAATTATCTGAGGATGCTAATCAGTGGTCGACTGAGAGTAATGACAAAAGAAAATCAGTCGGTGTTAACCAGGTTGAATCTAACACATCTATGCAAGCCCAGCTAGACACCATGGCCAAGGAGATAAGAAAGCTGACATTGGCCGAGGTACAGAGCGAGCCGCAAACAACATGTGACTTTTGTAGAATGGGACACCCTACACATGAGTGTCAAGCATCAACTGAGGAAGTATCAACGCTGGAGGAAATTACCAAGGTGGCAACAACTATAATGCTATGGGTCAAAGACATCCAGGTTTTTCATGGAGTTCAGCTAGTGGGAGTCTTAACTCATGGAAGCAAAATAATCCTAGACCCCAAGGTCAAGGACCACCAGGTTTTCAGAACCAACAGAGGCAACAATACCAGCCTTAACAGCCAAATTAGTCTAGTATGGAAGATCTCATGAAGGCAGTCATCAAAAAACAAATAAAAAATTTGAGGCTCAGGGCATGACTATCCGGAATTTAGAAAGACAAATGGGACAAATTCAAAATTTGTTATCTGAGAGGGCTCCTGAAACTCTTCCCTTTGACACTGAAAAGAACCCAAAGGAAACAATCAAAGCTGTATCTCTGAGAAGTGGCAAAACATTGACTGACCCAGTAGTGAAAGCTAGACCTGAGGTGGTGAACAAGTAGATTGTGACACCAGCAGAGAAAAAGAGGGAAGAGCAAAAAGGCCAGAGTAGTGAGGTACAAAAGGAGATTGAAGAAAGAAGACATATGCCAGCCCTACCATTCCCTCAAAAGATGAAGCGGGAGAAACTTGACAAATGTTTTGGGCGATTCTTGGAGATGCTCAAGAAACTTTACGTGAACATTCCCTTCACAGAGGTACTCACTCAGATGCCTGTTTATGCAAAATTCTTGAAGGAAATCCTGTCTAGCAAGAGAAAATTGGAGGAGACAACATTGGTCAAGCTGAATGCCCATTGCAGTGCCATATTGCAAAACAAAATTTCCCAAAAGTGTGGGGACCCAGGAAGCTTCACCGTACCATGCTCGTTGGGGAATGAGAGATTCAACAAGGCCCTCTATGACTCTTGTGCATCTATAAATCTAATGCCTCTGTTTGTAATCAGGAAGATGAAAGGCGAGCTTGGAGTGATCAAATCAATACCAGTGTCCCTACAACTGGCTGACCAGACCACCATTTTGCTTGGGGAATCATTGTAGATATTATAGTATGGGTGGACAAGTTTGTGTTCCCCGTAGACTTTATTGTGGTGGATATGGAGGTGAACAAAGAGGTACCTTTAATTCTAGGGAGGCCATTTTTATGTACAGGTAGAGCTATCCTTGATATCTATGAGGGGAAGCTTATGCTCAGAGTGGGCAATGAAAAAGTGGTATTCCAGATGAAGAGGATGATGAAATACCCCAGTGATGAGGTGTCTGCCAACTCGTGCTTCAAGCTAGATGTTAGTGAATTGACTGAAAAATACAAGTTTGACAAGCTTGTAGGGGATACTCTAGAGAGGTGTATTACTCAGTCTAGCACAGTAGAGATGAAGATCCTGAATTAAAGAAAGAGGCTGAAGCTCTTGAAACTGAGAATCAAGTGGTTAATGAGGAGGAACTAAAAGAGGAGGCTTCTAAGCCTAATGTGGAATTGAAATTCCTCCCCACTCACTTGAAATGTGCTTTTCTTGAAACTAACAATTGTTTTGTGATTATTTCTGCTGACTTGATAGGTACACATGGGCAAAAGTTGGTGGAGTGTCTGAAAAGGCACAAGAAGGCTATTGGCTGGAGTATAATCGATATTCAAGGAATCATTCCAGCCATTTTCATGCACAAAATTTTGTTGGAAGAAAATAGCAAGCCAGTGGTGCAGCCCCAATGCAAGTTGAACAAAAATTTGGAGGAGGTAGTGCACAAGGAGATCATCAAATTGCTAGATACGGGAGTGATTTTCCCTATATCTGATAGGCAGTGGATTAGTCCAGTCCAAGTTGTACCTAAGAAGGGGGCATGATAGTGGTGAAGAAGGAAGACAATGAATTGATCCCCACAAGAACAGTCACTGGGTGGAGAATGTGCATTAATTATAGAAGGCTGAATGATGCAACAAGGAAATACCACTCCCCACTCCCCTTTATTGATCAAATGCTCGAGAAAGTGGCTGGACATGGATGTTACTGCTTCTTGGATGGGTACTCAGGCTACAATCAAATACCCATTTCCCCAGAAGATGTTGAGAAGACCATATTCACTTCCCCGCCAGGTATTCTTTCTTACAGGAGGATGTTGTTTGGGTTGTGTAATGCACCTGCCATGTTTCAGAGTTGCATGATGTCTATATTGTCCGATTTAAATGGGAAGTGTCTAGAAGTATTCATGGATGATTTCACCCTCTTTGGTGATGACTTTGAGGATTTCTTGAAGAATTTGGAGCTCGCAATTGAACATTGTGAAACCACTCACTTGGTTCTTAATTGGGAGAAGTGCCACTGCATGGTGAAAGAGGGAATCGTCTTGGGCCATAAAATGACTGCACATGGGATTGAAGTTGATAGAGAAAAGGTTGATGTAATTGCTAGGCTACCTCCACCGATGTCTATGATGAGCATAAGGAGTTTATTGGGACATGCTGGGTTCTATAGGAGGTTCATCAAAAACTTTTCCCACATTACCAAACCATTGACTGCATTGCTAGCAAAAGATGTCAAGTTTGTTTACAATGTGGAGTGATTAAGAACATTCAAATTGATGAAGGAAAAGCTTGTGAGTGCTCCTATTATGATGACACCTGATTTGAGACAGCCATTTGAGATAATGTGTGATGCTAGTGATGTAGCTGTTGGAGCAGTTCCGGGGCAAAGAAAAGATAAGATGTTTAAGCCCATCTACTATGCAAGCAGAATGTTGAATGATAGTCAAATAGGCCACTAACGAGAAAGAGTTCTTTGATGTGGTCTTTGCTTTTGACAAGTTTAGATCATACCTGGTAGGGAGTAAAGTGATTTTACACACTGATCACTTAGCCTTGAAATACTTGTTAAGTAAGAAGGAGTCCAAGCCGTGTCTGATGTATTGGGTGTTATTGCTCCAAGAGTTTGACTTGGATATAAAAGATAGGAAGGGCACATAAAATCAAGTCGCCGATTATCTATCTCGACTTGAGAGACCTCCGGTTGAAACAATTGATGTAAGAGAAGAGTTCCCTGATAAGCAAATTTTCTCCATTGCCACGGTCTCCGAAAGGCTGCGTTGGTATGCTGATATTGCCAACTTTTTGGCTAGTGGATGGTTGCCTCGTGACCTCTCTCATGATCAAAGAAAGAAGCTTCAAGGTGAGGTAAAACGTTATTTTTGGAATGACCCTTTTTTGTTTAAACTATATGCAGATGGTGTGATTCGAAGGTGTGTGCCTGAAGAAGAGATGGCAAACATTCTTTATCATTGCCGTGATGGAGAAGGTGGAGGACACTATGGCAGAAATCGCACTGTAGCAAAGTTCATGGAAGCCAGTTTCTATTGGCCTACTTTGTACAAAGATGCACGGGCATATATAGATACATGTGACAAGTGTCAAAGGGCAGGTAACATTAGCAAGAGAGATGAGATGCCACTAAACTCCATTCCGGTATGTGAAATTTTTGACTTTTGGGGCATTGATTTCATGGGTCCGTTCCCATCGTCTCATTCTTATGAATATATCCTAGTAGCCGCTGACTACGTCTCTAAATGGGTTGAAGCAATCCCTACTAGGACCAATGATGCTCGGGTGGTATGCGAGTTCTTACAGAAGAACATCTTTACCCGCCTCAAGATACCCCGAGTGATTATCAGTGATAATGGATCGCACTTTGTGAACAAGCAATTCGCTGCATTATTGTCTAAGTATAGGGTCACACACATTAGAGGAACCCCGTACCATGCCCAAACTGTTGGGCAAGTTGAAGTGTCTAACCAAGAACTAAAACGAATTCTTGAAAAAATGGTTAGTGCTTCTCGTAAGGAATGGTCTGTAAAGTTGGATGAAGCTCTATGGGTGTACAGAACTGCATTCAAAATAACCATAGGGACTTCACCATTCAAACTAGTGTATGGAAAATCATGTCACCTACCCGTTGAGATAGAACATAAAGGTTATTGGGCAATTAAGATGCTTAATCTTGATCTTAGTCTTGCAGGTGAACACATGTTGGCACAAATGAATGAATTGGAAGAGTTTAGACTGGACGCGTATGAAAATGCATGAATTATCAAGGAAAAGACAAAAAGTTGGCATGATCGTCTGATTAAGCCAAAGGAGTTTCATGAATGGGACAAAGTCTTACTATATAATAGTAGACTTAGGTTGTTCCCTGGAAATTTCAAATCAAGATGGACATGTTCGTATGTGGTGAAACACGTCTCATCATATGGGGCCTCATTAAATATAAGATGAAGAAGAGAATGAAAGCTTTAAGGTGAATGGGCACAGGTTAAAACCGTACCTTGTTGGAAGATTTGACAGGTAATCCTCTAGCATCGTGACAAAATGAACCTAAGTGATGGAGTCAAGCTGACGACTATAACTCAGAACTACTTCTATCATTGTTTCTTGCTTTTGTAGAATAGTTAGATAATTGTAGTGTAGGATTATTAGAGTTTAAAAATTGTGGTACTTGTTTGGGCAGGTATAAGCATGAATTGAACATAAAATAAGTACATTATAGAGTCGGGGTGCAACCCGTGGCCTAAAACGCAAAAATCCTCGAAACTCTAAGAAAGTTGGCCGAGCGTACCGCATGGGGTACCGCTCTAGGCCATTACGGATGCCTCTGTTAGAATTTTAGCTCTCTTGAATTCCCCACTACCGTGTCGCGCCCAGCGATGTGACAGTATAAAAAACAATTGAGGCTGATTTTTTATAAAGCAGAACCCATTATTTTCCCCTACCCTTTTCCCATATCTCTCACTCTTTTCTCTCAAATCTCACCTCTCTAACACACCCCAAATCCTCCATCCTTCTTCTTTATCAAAGTTCTTCACCTCCAATTCTCCCACCTATATCACTCATCAAGGTAAGTTTTCTTTTCTCATCTTTTCTCTTTTAGTAGTAAGTTAAGGTAGATTAGTTCATATCTCTAACCTTAGGTAGTTTTTCAATTTTTTGGTTCATATTCATCTTTTGGCCGAAATTCTTGTATAAACTTGTGGGATTTTAATTGTTCTTATAATTGTGGGTGATTGTTGGTGTGTTTTGATGGTGTTGGAATTAATTTGTGTTGAAGTTTGGTGGGGTTGTCAATATGGCCAAAATTTGGAGGGAGTTTTGTAAATAATAGGAACACATTGTGCTATAGTTATACTATGGTGGTGGTGTGGTTGTTGGAGGGTGGTTGATTGGTATGTTTGTGGAGTAATCTTAGAATAATTGAAGTCAAAATTATGAGGTAAATTTGGTGACTACCATGTGTTTGAATGCCTCAATGACATAGAAGGTGACGTTGTAGCTTAATTGGGGATAATTATGATGAGATAATGTGATGCTTGATGTTAAGTGTGGGTTGGGAGGTCATGCTCGTATGTTTTGAAACTTTAACGTGTTATACCCGAGTGCTAATCGATTGACCATCCCATGCTAATGTGCTGCTAGGTGCTAATTGGGATGTCCGATTCAGGCTATGTGCTTGTGTTGTGTAGTGTTGTATTGTTACTTCTGAATTTTGTAGTAGTAAATTAGTATAAATTCTTATTTTTATTTTCTTAGTTACTAGTTTAGCTTCTTGATTTTGTATTTTACGTTAGTATAGTCCATGGTTATGTTGCGGTACTATTATGTTGGTATTTGTTTGGGTTGTTGACTACTTGTGGCATGCTTTCAATATGGTAGTCTGAGTCCCTAATATACATTGTACTTGTGAACATGCCAATAACATAAGTGTGGGGTTGTTACCCTGTTTGGTCTTGTTTTTTCTTTAAGTGTTGTGTCTAAAGTTGTTCGTCTTGTGCAGGTACAATATCTCGCCACCCTAGCAAATGTTCTAACACAGGTTCCTCAGAAGTTGCCTCTATTAGCCGTCGAAGAGGTAGGCAGGCACCTCCCCCCGCCCTTGTGGAGGAGGAAGAAGAGCACATTGATCCAAATGCAGATATAGTATCAGACTGCAAGTATGAAATTTAGGCTGTGCCAACTCATGCTAGGATGTGGTACCGAACTTTTGTTCTGGAAGTGGGTATTG